CTATCTATCTATCTATCTATCTATCTATCTATCTATCTATCTATCTATCTATCTAGGATGTCCAGAGCCCTCTCACAGGGAAAAAGCTGTTCAAATGGCTATGGGCAAGGCCACTTGAGAAAGAAACAGCAGGCTGATGACAGAGACCTCCCTAATTCACTGAACTCAGACAAAGACGTCCCTAATTCACTGAACTATAAAAAGGAGAAGGAGGTAGAGAACAACAATTAGACTGGCAAGATTTTATTATTATAGTCAATTTCAATAAAAGTAGTTTTACTCTTCCTGTGGAGTTGATTTTCTGGTCTGGTCTACTTAATGGGGATGAAATCGAGTCAGCAAAACAATGATGACTATTTTGGGGAAATCAAACAGTTCACAACATTACTGACCACATGATCCTACCTACTTGTACATTGCAGAGCATGAACAGATTCAGAGACAAGTAATGTTCAAGTCTGGTCTACCTCAAACAGCTGACAGATATTAAGGAAATTCCAGCACCTGTGGATAGGAAAGCTGTTCAGCAGATTTTGTGAATGGTGTAGTATCTGGCAGAGTACATACCCAATGAGTCAAGACCAACAGCACTTCACGAGGCACAAGATCAATTAAAGCAGCCATTACCACTATGCCCATTACACTAAAAATGTATGAAATAAATTTAAGCCACTGAGGCATGCAAGAGGAAGAGTGTCCATGGCTGAAGAGACTATTTTGTCCATACAAAGGAGAAAATAATTCAGTAAAGCTTTATTTTTATTTAACTGTTTAGACTAGGAACTGAAAGAGCTCAACTTTATCATTGGAGACCATTAATGTAATTCTTAAAAAAAAAAAAAAAAAACTTTACTATTCTATAACATTGTGTTGAGAAAAACCTTGAAAAAAGAAAGACAAGAGTTTGGAGAACCTTATTACCCAGGACACATTTAAAGTGTTGCCACATCTGTTGTAGGCAATTGATTTCCTATGTTAATTTTATTACTTTAATGCCTTTTTTTTTGTACTTATGTCCAGAAGCAATTCAGTTGCATGTGGGATGATGATGATGATGATGATGATGATGATGATGATGATGATTTAAAAACCTGAAGGTTATATGTGGTGATTGGGTTGGGGGTGGCTGATAAACAATGATAGTTCTTTTTTGTTTGTTCAATTTTGGACAAAGTGCTTAGAACTTAATTCCTGCTATATTTGATATTCCCAGGAAATAAATTCAGGATGTTTGCAGAAAATACACATATTAAAAAATTAATTTCTCAGAGCAGGGAGGGGGGGGACCCTATGTTACTCATCTTTCACATGAAATCATGAGCCTCAAACTTATTAAAACATTCAGTTTTTGTACTAATATGGTTCCAGTCTCTGAAATGTTCATATATTTCTCACATCAGCAGTCAATATTAGCTATGCTAATTGGCATCAGTTCAGAATACTCTTATTAAACAAATAATACTGATACTTGCCCTCATTTGCCCCACTTGTTTAAATAATATGTAGTTAGAGATGGGCATCCTGTCTTGCTTAGAGATTGATTGGAAGCATTAGCACTGGTTGCTCTAAGTCCCACTGTCTCTCCCAAGTCATTCCCACCACCATATTGTTTGACTTAATTCATCCAAAGTTCTGATGCCCTGGCATCAGTGTCTATGGAAGCATTTTGAAGGCTACAATATCTAAGGTCATCAAAGGGAGCACATCTCTAATACCAGTTGCTGGAGGCAAACAAAACAAGACTGTCTAGTACTCTTGTCTTAAACTTTCTAGAGACATTCATCCAATGGTGCTGGATAAAATGGGAATAAGTTATTGACACCTTGGCATGAAAGCCCATTCTTTGCCCTTATATTTACTCCTACAAATCCATTTTACAGAAGGAAATGACAAAAGTAATCCACGCTCAAACATGCAACTCAGTCTTGAAGATTACGTGGCAATCTTGGGATGGTCACATTCATTTGCTCTTATGTGTCTGGTAGGTCTGCTGAGAGTCTAAAGGGGAATAGGAGGGAATACAAGAATTTTCTTTACCCCACCCTACTTGGAGGCATGGTCCTGGCAAATGTTGTACTATTATTACTACTCTTTAGAAAGTACGGTCACCTGTGGAGTTCAGACAGAAACAGTGAGTAGGGTCACCCCAGCTATTCACATCTTGAACACCAGTGTCCTCCTGTGGACATTTCTAATCACCTTTGTATTCAGCTGAATGTGTAAAAATGGGCATGCAGGCTATATGTACCTAGGCTTCCATGTCCATGCAATGGGGAAGACTGGGATTAAAACTTCCAATCTCATGAATGTCCCTCTGTGCCTACCTTTATTTTAGGGTGGGAATGTTCCTATATTCATTTGGGTTCATAGCAGTGGGGAGAAGAAGGCTGGAACAGCAAGACAGTGTGAGTTGTACAATTTTATTTCCAGAGCTTTGTTCCTCACCTATCCATTGAGGGTGTTTTCTTTTTTTCTTTTTCTTTTTCTTTTTCTTTTTCTTTTTCTTTTTCTTTTTCTTTTTCTTT